GGGCCAGCGAGTCTCACAGCAGCACAAAAGACTAGACGGTCAGTTCAGGACACGGCTCCACACAGCACAAAGTAACCCAACCAAACTCCCCCCTCCCCTCTCACAAAAGAGCGAGATATTACTCACAGATCACGGTGTAAACGGCGCAATGGCCACCCCCACTCTTCACATTCGCTTTTCTGTCACCAAACCATCATCACATCGGCAACTTCATCGCCGAGGTCCTAACTTGAACCGCGACCAGAACAAAGCGCTTTAGGAGTTACAGACGGGCGACGTGGACTCGTGTCTCGGCACATTAAACATGACCGGTGGTGCTTCTGCAGAGAGTGAGGGGCAATCTCTGCAACCCGAGAGATGCATTCACATCTACCAAACTCCGGTAGACAATACGAGTGTCTGAGGCTCTCTGGGGGTCTTTGTCTGTCTCCCGGTGCCCCCCTCCTCCCCTCCTCAAGCCTACAACAGCTGTCCTCTCCCAACTTCACTGGAAACTCACATCATCCAAACATAGTTAATATCTCTGTATATTTACGTGTATCTCGGTTGGTTTAAGTTTGGGGGACTCGCTGAAGCTACATAATATAATCCCGCCTCGGTTCACTTTCCAGGGGGTTAGAGTAGCCTCGGACACTGCCACGATATAGCCTCGATCTCTGGCGGACTAAGCCACTGTTAGGACCAATAAGAGCCAAAACTACAATACCTCCCTGCTAGCCTGACTAAGCAGGGTCTATTTGGAGTAGTATGTATTTCTCAACCACCTACTTATGCTTAGTAAGTCATTTTCACAACCTCTCACCACCACAAGGAACTTTTGGCTCTGCTCCTTAACTTTCAATATTTGGACATATGACATGATGTATTATCTTACACAAAACCAATCCACACTACACACACACTGCTAAACATGGTTTATCAAGTTCAAGGTAAAGTCTCTAATTAATATATATATATATATATATATATATATATAGTTTGTTCTATATCATCCCTAAATGTGTAGTCTGGTCCTCCTTGATGCATCATTTTTGACTCATGACAACGTTGACAATAGTATTCCTAAAGTGACAAATAATGTGCTCACGGATCACAAGAGTAAGTTTAAAGTGACCTTGTAGTGGATTGTCTTAATTGTATTTTAGTGAAGGTAACGTCAACATATTATTAGTAGGCTATGGGGTCTACTTTGTAAGCATCCTTTTGTAATATGTTAACGCTAAACCTTTGTTTTTTTAATAGAAAAAAACCCATTATTAAACCAATAATATGATGTGGTGGATTCGCATCCGGTGCTTTATTGGAGCTAAATCTATATTGTTTCACAGCTTTCCTAAACAGTCGTGTGTGTTGTGTGTCAGACTTCGGAGTCCTTTTGTTTTCCGCACGCTTACTTCTCCTCGCGCTACTGTCTGCTGCTGGCACCAAGTACCAAAAAAACTCGCTTTCTGGATTAATATTTTAACTCAAATTGGCGCTACGTTTAGCCGCAAACATAATCAGTTTGAGCAGTCATAAGTAATTTGTAGAGGCTGAAGAACACAAAATGAGGCGACATTTTCCTCCTCTCCGAAGTGCGACCTGAAGTCAGACCAATAGTTGGTCGGTGGGATGCTAACGTTAGCCACTTAGCTTGCGGCTCGTACCCTCGCGTTACATTAGTAACGACGATAGTTGGAAGTCGAGATAACAGTCACACCGTACCTGTGTTTCGCTTCTCTCCGCTCTTTGCCGCACTCAGAAACTTCTCTGCGCCTCTGTCCGCGGTTTATAAATCCTCTTCGAAGCGCAAAGGGACAAGTATCGCATCTAAAACAGCCTAATTCTTGCCTAATTGATGAGCTCGGTCAGTACAATGAAGTGAACAGCATGGATAGATGGAAGCAGAGTGTGTGCGTGTGTGTGTGTGTGTGCCGGGGAGACAGACAACACCCGGGGAAAGTGAGGTGGACATCCGCCCCGATGCGTTCGCCTCTCCCAACCAGCCGTTTGGATTGATAAAAAGTAGTCCCGTGAAACTATTAAAGTGTAGACCACTCTTAATTTTAGAATTTGTTACGAAACACGTAATTTGACGCGCCAGCGTGTTTTATTCAGCAGCATGTCGTACTTGAAGCGTCTAGAAAAAGAATCAGCTTTTAGAACTGCCTACCTACTAATTCCTACTTTGATTATTATCCAACGTTAATCTCGTTCAAATAGAAGGAGAAAGACGGCGCGGTTGTATGTTATAGAAACAATAGCTGTAATAGACTCTTAATCTGACATCTATCAAAATCCCATAAATTAGGGACTACTTGCCAGTGTGTCGGCGGAGGGATTCGTCAGCTGTGCATCTCTGTACTGAGGCAGGCTGTCCAGACTTGCACTGGTGTGTGCATGTTGGAGAAAAGGGCAAAAGAGTGGGGTACAACTCAACCTATAGCGTGTGTGTGCGGTGTGTGCGTGTTTCTGTACGCGTACGTGTCTTCAAGAGCGTGCATGACTTTGTGCATGAACGGACAATGACTCAGATGAATAGCCTCAATGTACTTGGCCTTTTTTTATTTATTTAAAATGTCGAGCAATTCAAAGAGTTCTGTCTTGTACCATCATGTGTGTACGTGTGTTTGGCTGCGTGCACGTGTGGGTGCACAAGCGTGTGTGTGTGTGTGAGTAGAATAGGGATTGTTTCAGTCATAACTATAGCAGGATTCCTCACACCTGATGCTGGCAATAAACACAACAACACACACACACACACACACACACACACACACACACACACACACACAGATAGAGCCTGCTGCTACCTTTACTCGTGCCTGCTGCTGACATGTAACAGCCTGTTACATACTCCTCCTCCAGCTTTCACTCTCCATCTCTCTCTTTGGCATCACCACCTCCTCTTCATTTTCACTAACTCTTCCTCATCGTCCCAGTTCTCTTCATTTCCCCACCTTATCTCCATCTCCTCTGTGATTTATTTTATTTATCGTCCCCCTTTTCCCCCTCCACAGTCCTGCTTCCTGCTCCTTTCCTCTCCCTATACTTCTTTATTTTATCTCCCCCTGTTTGCTCCTCTGTCTTCTCCTACTTTCACCGTCTACTCCCCTCCCTCTGCCCTAATTCTCCTCCTCCCCCTCTTTCCACTCTCCTCTCACTCTCTGTGCACCCTGCCTGTTTTTTTTGTTTCTCCTCCTTGCTCTTCCTCTGTCTTTTTCTCCCCCTACCTCCCTCCTTCCTCCCCATCCAGTTCCTTTGCCTCCTCCGCTTTCCTCCCCTCCTTGATATCTCTCGCCCTCCCTTCACTGCTCCCCTATACTTTCTTTCTCTCCTGTGATGACTCCTCTTATACTCTATCTTTTCTGCCTGCCTCCCTCCCCTCATTCCTCCTCTTCCTCTCCTTCCTCACCCCTCCTCCTTTCCCTCTTCCTCTCCTTCCTCACCCCTCCTCCTTTTCCTCTTCATCTCCTTCCTCACCCCTCCTCCTTTTCCTCTTCCTCCTTCCCTTCTCCCTCTCTCGCCGTCTTCCTCTCATGTCGCTTTCAATTTCAACAGTGTGTGTGCGTACGTGCAAATTCTTCCCCTCCCCCCATTCTCCCCCTACGGTGATACAGTAGGCTAAAGCAGTTTCGCTTCACTCACCTCCAGCACTCCCCCCCCCTCTCCACTCCTCTCCTCTCCTCTTCCTCCCTGTGCAGTCTCATTTTCACCCCTGCCACCTCCTCCCCTCGCCTCCTTCCCTCCTCTCCTCTCATTAGTCAGTGTCCATGAAACTCACCATTCCACTGTCTCTCCTCTCGCTCAGTCCTCCAGTCCCTAACACATCCTCACTAATGAACAACTGCTACATCTCTCCCCTCCCTCTCTTCACTTCTCAGCTCTCCTTTCATCCTCCTCCTCTTCTTCTTTCTGTCCTCCCCTCTCCTCCTCCTCTGTCCTCCTCTCCATTTGTCACTCCGTCTCTCTTTTCCTTCCCTTCCTCTTCTCGCTCAGTTTCTCTTCGATCTCTCAGAACTGAGTGTCCCTCCCACTCTCCCTTTAGCTCACTCTCGTTTCCACTTCTTTCCTCACCCCCTCTGCCCACCTCCTCCCGTCTCTCTCCACCTGTCTCGTTCCTCCTTCTTGCCTGTCTATCTGTCTGCTCTTCTCACTTTTTGTCTGCCTCACTTCCCCATTTCCCTCCACATGTGCTCACAACGATCCCTCCCTCCTTTACACCTCCCCCTGACTCCCATCCCTCCCATCCCTCCCTCCCCCGCTCTTCGAATTCTCTGACTTTCTCTGTTATCTCAGGAGATGCATGATCTAGAATCAGATGTGATAGTTTCCTTGCTGTGTTCGTTGAGTAGTTGCTGTCACATAGGACCATCATGCATGTCTAAATGTTCTGCGCTGCACAACTCACCTTCATGTAGGCTCAGTGAATGAGGCCCTTTTCCATCGCCAACTCGTTATTATATGATTTCTGTGCACCGATTGCTGATGAATCGTCACTGATGTTGCCCACCATGACACACCAGATGACTCAAGCTGTTATGATGTGAATAGATCATAGTATGTGGACCAAACTGAAATTATGTAAGGATGTAAAAGATAATGTATCACTCGATTAAAATATGTGTCTGTAGAGGGCCTAAAACGATCTGTAGGGAAAAAAAGAGTGGCTCTTAAGGACAGTTCAGAGTGTAAAAATAAATAAATGGAAAGGGCTTATCCTCTTGGGATCATGACTCAGAACTGCATGATAATCCAGCCTTCAAATCACTTTAAATGGCTGCATATAGAAGTACCACTGCAAGAGACAGACACCAGACATCTGCAGCCCACGTGGGGACACTGTACAACTGTCTCATCTCAGTCGAATAGACATGCAGGGTGGATGCCCAGTCTATGTGTTGTAATTCTGTGCTGCAGGGCTCGCTGTATTGAGAGAGGCCTCATCCTCATCCACCATTCTCCTCTGGTCCTTTCTGCATCTGTTGATTCCCTCTCTCATCCTCCTCCCCCTCCTATCGTTTGTCTCCCTTTCTCATCCTCAATGTCTGTCTATCCATCTATCCATCTATCTATCTATCCATCTGTCCATCTCTATCTATCCATCTATCCATCTCTATCTATCCATCTATCCATCTATCCATCCATCTATCCATCTATCCATCTGTCCA